AAGTAAATAGATCATTACGAACATAAGAAATGCCGAACGATTCCATAAACTTTTTAAATATAACTAAAGGAGTACCTAAATGATCATAATTGTCGTGAGAGGAGATCGTTTCAAATTAGGTAAACATCTATACTATCGATACTATATAATATAATAAATGTGAAAGTGTGTTTGTTTGTTTGTTTGTTTGTTTGTTTGTTTGTTTGTTTGTTTGTTTGTTTGTTTGTTTGTTTGTTTGTTTGTTTGTTTGTTTGTTTGTTTGTTTGTCTGTCCTTCTTTCACGTCGAAACGGAGTGACGGATTGGCATGATTTTTTGTGTGGAGATAGTTGGAGGACTGGAGAGAGTGACTTAGGCTACTTTTTACCCCGGGAGTTTACTTAATTCCCACAGGAAAACACTTTATAATACAATCCAAAAAAATATTTTTGATCAGAATTACTTGAAACTTTAATTAATGCTCTTCAATAAAATTAAATAAATACATGTTTTAGCATTTTTCAAAATTCATCCTATAAGGGGAAAAAAGGATGAAATTTTGTATGAAACTACTTTTTTAGGGTTTTTTGTAATTTTATCGCGAGCGAAACCGCGGGTCCTATTAGTAAATAATAATTAATAAACAATAATATATAACATTTGTTTGAGTTTGTCTTTCAATGCGCATTTCATACAAACGTCTTTGTGTGACGTTATCTAGTTGGCCAGTTTCAATAACATTACCAACAATAGGTTTCGCACTGACAATGCTCATGATCTAAAACACTAGGAGAAATCGTTCCGCTACTCTACTGAAATTAATTATTTTGAACTTGTTAGTCAGAATCAAAACTTGATTCATTTTAAATTTAGATTTACGAGATTTTACGCATAATTAAGATAAAGTATCGTAAGTGAAAGAAAAATTCTTTAAAACTGCAGTATCGTTTAAATAATTAATTAAAAATATTGTTTTTAAATTACATATTAACATTATTATTTTATTACCTTATAAAATTTTGCCAAATGCAACATAATCATATTATACACAGTTTGTAACTAAGTATACAGAATGGAACAAATGGACATGGAAGAAAAGTACCTTAAATATTGAAATTATCAAATTTTAGCCAAAAGAAACATTGCTTTATTTAAAAAAAACCACAGATGTCTGCCACGACCTTGAGTACTTTGAAAATGAATCTGCCAAATGAACTGAATTAAATTTTTAACATATTATACTAGCAGAACAACCGATTTTGCCCGCGTTTGCCGCGTTGCACTAGTAACTAATATATAATTTGATGGATGAAAGAGAAGAGAAGAAAAAAACACAGAAGACAGGCGAATTAGAAATTCGAAGAAGACACGCCTGTTAAACTAACTAGCAGTTAATCAAACAGTTAAACTACCTGACAGTTAAATTCACTGACAGTTAAACTAACTAGCAGTTAATCAAACTAACAGTTAAACTAACTAGCAGTTAATCAAACTAAGAGTTAAACTAACTAGCAGTTTATCAAACTAACAGTTAAACTACTTGACAGTTAAATTCACTGACAGTTAAACTAACTGACAGTTAAGCAGACTATCAGTTAAACTAACTGACAGTTAAACTTACTATCAGTTAAACTGACAGTTAATCTTACTGACAGTTAACCTTACTGACAGTTAACCTTACTGACCGTTAACCTTACTGACAGTTAATAGTCATGATCGCGCTCACGCACTCTCCTCGCGTAAACTCAGCGCCACAAAGGTACAACTTCTGAATAACCCATCAGTGATATGCACCTCCAATATTTTTTTAAATATAGTCCGAAGTCTCTAGGGTTTTTTTAATTTTTCCGATATCTTATTTCATTTCGAGATATGATTTTTTTTCTGACTGGAACCGAGCGAAAAGCGACCGCATGTTTCACATTTTTTCGATTTAAAAAAATCCTTTTAGTGTTTTCATTTTTTTTTTTGCATTTTGTAGCCCTCATTCAGACGCATCTTTTAACATCCCAATCAACCACGTAGTCCTAAAATCCACGACACCAGGGCGATGTCGCACTTTCGCTGAAAATCGGGCCTATACTGAAGCGACAAAAAAAACATTTTCAATGTTAAATTGCATTCCATCCATTTATTCCACTTGTATATTTAGCATTCATGTATATTTATAAATATATTTAGTGTAGATAAAATATGTAAAAATCCTCGTATTTGCTTTTACTAAAATAAAAGCAAAAACGAGGATTACTTCAATAGGATAGACGAGTATTTACTTCACTAAGTTTCCAGTTCCAACTATAAAACTGGTTCAAGTGTCGGATTCCTGGAAGCCATTTATAGCTTACTATATCCGAGGTATCGCTTTTGTGCCATTAAAATAAATAACAAGCAAAAGATAAAATTAAATGCATTGCACTGATCCGTATATTTTTTTATAAAATAAAGCGTTAGATTAAATAACTTAATAGACGCAGCCAACATTTTTCTAAAACTACCTAGGAACGTATTATGTGCGTAACAAGTTTACTTCTGAATTTTCCAGTACTAGTATTCTAAAACATTTGCTTCTTTTCTTATTATTTAATAAAATATAAAACCCAAATAAATACATACAATGACTATGACAAACCCAAATAAATACCACGAGGAAGTATAGTTTATTTCGCTTATTAAGCCATAAAGCTTCATGCGTAGGCCGCTTTTAATGTCTTAAGTCAAGGATATTGGAAAGCTCTAGAGTCTAGGCCAGTGGTGGGAAAACTTTTTCCACGTGGGGCCACAAAAATAAAAAAAAATTGTTGGAGGCCGCCTGGAGTGAATTACAACTAAAAATACTTAATGTTTAGAAATATACACATTTATTTATTACTAGCGACTCATACTCGCATCACTCGGGTTCGTCCCTAGCTTGATTCCCCATACGAACTTTCATTCCCATTTTCACCCTCTTAAGGGATGATTTACGGGATAAAAACTATCCTGTCCTTCCCATGGTCTCAAACTATCTTCTTACCAAATTTCATCTAAATCGGTTCAGTAGATCCAGAGATTACCCCCTACAACGTCACAAACTCACAAACTTTACCTCTTTATAATATTAGTATAGATATTATGAACGTTACAGATATGTAGGTACTATATGAAATATATAAAAGCAGCTACATAGTTGAAGTTAGGGCCTTCCTCAGTAGGCGTATAGGAAACATAAAACTGCTTTTGATTGGCCATGATGCCCTCGTAAGCTGGTTCGAGCTGAGACGATGATTCTTTAAACACTGAGGAAAACCCCTGATTTTTCTCTCTCCCGCTCCAACCGTGTGGTACCGCGCCCGCGACGTCCAACAGAGACAAGCAAGATACGGCAGTTTTATTTTTGCTAGCATCTTGCATACACTATTATGCGGCTACTTCCCACGTATATTCTTACATCTATATTATTAGATCCACTAGACTGTAAAAATTTAATTCCGAACACCATACTCGTAATATGTAGAGTATATAATATAAAAGAGGAATTGTTGGCGGGCTGGATTAAAGCCCGTCGCGGGCCGTACTTTGCCCACCCCTGATCTAGGCATTGTTCCGCTCTACAGTTAATTGGCAGGGTGCGGTGATTGAGCAATTGTTATGTTAAAAAATGTATTAGAATTGTAAAACAGGTTGTTATGTTTAAAACAATAATTTTAAGATTATTAAACATATATATTTTAATCACGAGTGATGTCTATGATATAATGAAGTGTATTGGACGGTCAAGAGTTTGCCAAATAAATTTATTTATTGAAAAGTTACACCACAACTTTATAAATATATTCGAGTTTTTATGATACGCTTTGCCACCAAAGGGACCTAGCTTGATAGTGGTGGATAGCTAGCTATTTATTATAAATAACAAAAATGTATTCTTAGTATTCTAAAATAATTATTATAATTTGCATCAACCTCATGACATATTTTTGTTCTAGAACTGTAAATACGAAAATGTGATGTTTGGTCTGCCATCTAATTCATCAAAAATAGGCGAATAGGTCTGTAGTGAATAATCTCTGTAAGTAGTAGGGGCTTATAGCGGAAAGCTATTTATTTACATATAAAATTCCATACCAACATCGCTAAGTTTCCAATAAGTTGAATGATACTTTCGGCAATTTGCGGCTTGTGACTTTTTTTTCTACTTAAAATAATTTGTAAAAAAAACTATTATATACTTTATTATGGCGCTTATGTTTACTAATTTTAATATTTAAGCATGGATAGTTATTAAACAATTACGTAAAATCACTAGGGCTTAAACAGCACTAAAGGTCCAGCGAAATTTTTAAATTCGAGGTGAATTCCCTATCCACTAATCGAGTTAAGTAGAGTTTAAGTAATGCCAAATTTTACTCAAGTTTTTGTGTACACTTTCTGTTCCTATTGATATTTCAATGTAAATAACTAAAAAGTTGCCTATAATATGTTACAATTATTAGCTATTTTTGTATTACAAGCGTAGCAGAGATGGCGAAATTTCAGCATACGCCCTACGTCAATGAGATCTCCGATAAAACCAGTTCTGACTCATTTAATAAGTAATACGTATCTAAATTAAAAGAAAATTAAGTACTGTAAAAAGTTGTTTGTTATTTAACACAATTGTTATTTAAATTCAACATTATATAAAAATGAAACTATGAATATCTTTGTAACTTTTTTCTATCAAGCGAAATAATTTACCTAAATTGTCAACCAATTAAAGGGCTAGAGAATATTATTATTTTTTCTGTTTGGAAACTGTAAAAACTAAAAGTTCGAGATAGATGGTACGTAACTTAAAATTTACTATCACTATTTATTTACCATTCCTTTTGAAGATATAAGTTCACATCTTTCTATGTTTAGGTACTATGAAGTCCTCATACTTTAATCACGTCCTATTACTTATCTCATACAACCGTGCCGTGAATATACCTATAATTGAATCCCTTATTCGTACAAATTTAAAGAAAATATAAAATTGTCTATGAAAAATTAGGCACCTACCCGATATTCGTCAGGCTTGAAGTGCTTCCGGTGAGTGAATCGGGCGCAACCTTCCCTTGTGCCATGGCCGCCAACTGTCGGTCCAATAGGTTGTTTTTCTCCAGCAGTTGGCTCCACTGTCGGACTGCTGTTTTGGAACTCGAGAGCTCCTGTCGAAGTTGCCTCTCATCTAATGAGTTGAGACCACTACGAAGAGAACTGTCTAACCTGCGTAGCAAAAATAATTATAATCGATTTTATGCAGAAGACAAATGCGATTTTTTTTTAATATTGGGACATTAACACACAACATCATCTAGTTCCATAGTAAGCTACGAGGCTTGTGTTATGGATACCAGATTGTTGATACACTACACATATATTACTTTAAATATACATATTATAAATATTTATTTATAATATGTATATTTAAAGTAATATATTATTTATAATATATTTTTATAATATAAATATATTTTTTATTTATTTATATTAAAACGAGATGTCTACTAATTCATAGTTTAATATAAAATATAACAAAAACGATATTAAAAAATAATAATAAATCTTTAATTCATATTTTTTTTGGTGTAATTATGGGTTTTTGCCTGAATTAAAGATTTATTATTATTATTACTATTAATAAATAATTCGATTGTGATTATTTTTAAACATATTTCGTGGCTTCAATTACTTACTAGCTGATTTGTTATTAATTTGTTATAACAAAAGATATTGTTTTAAAAGGTTTTACATTACGTGACGACAACACTTTGTTATTTAAATAGTTGAAGGTACTTTTACTGAAAGTACTTGATGGTTACCTAAGCTCGACCTCATCAACATTCGAGAGTTAAAAATCATGACTCGTCTATTTACTCAATTATTTAAAAGCTTATTACATTTCTAATACAATACTTGTCGCATCTTTGAAGAGTAAACATGGTTCTTACGCTTGCTAAATAATATCGCGTTTTTTTTCCATTATTATTTATGTAACAATTATGTCACAAGTTAAATAACTTTTACTCTCAATGAATCGTGAAAGTAAAAACTTGTATGAAATCCATTAAAGGTATTTTGGTTACATTTTTTTAAAACAAACTGGATTTTCAATTAGGTTACCGAAGGCAGTTAATGATAAAGTATTTCCGGTAATAATAGTAAACGACAGCACCCGATACAATTTTTTTTATAATAAAAAAAAATATGTTAAAACTTTTTTTAAAACAAGCTTTTATTTAAATGCTCTAAAAAGAAGAAAATAAACTTTAAATTTAATGAAATCGATAATGATATTTATTTCAATAAGATTTTCCAAAAAATATTTAATGTACAGATTCGGCTTAATTACAATTTTATTATATGTATAGATAATGAAAAACACCTCAAAAAAATTACGTTACCGATTTTTATATAAAAATTAGCTAGTAAAATTATGCGACAACTTAAAGAATTTTGCCAAATATTTGTTTAATAAGCCTTATTTGTTAGTTAAAAAAAAACAACAAAGGTAAGTTTAATTAAGTGGAATAGGTCTAATGATAGCTTAAACTCCCTGACTTGGGTGCTTCTATTCTAAGCGGGGGTCATTTTTATTCGTAGATACTCAATATAGAACATACCTTTCAATATAATCATCAACACTCTGCAAACTGGTGACGGACTGCGCCAAATCGTTGTCCATCATGAGATCGTCAGATGCGAGGCTGGACAGCGTGTCGAGAGAGGGTGTTCTTTCTGCCGCTGGGTTACGTCCTCCACCTAGACATAATATGTAAAGATACTGTAATATCGATTATAATTTTTTAAAAAAAATGAAGTTATACTTCTTTTGGCACGTTTGGAAAAAATATGAGAGTAAAATTTTTACGATGCGCGTACACGTGACACACGTTTATTTTTGGATTTTTAATAACAAAAGTCTTACTTTTGCTTTGGTCTATATTAATAAAAATAAATGTTTATTTGTACTTACAAGTACTAAGAAAATCATTATTAGATCATTACATCATACTAAATACCTCTATGCGTTCTTAAACCACTTATCCAATTATGATGAAACTAATGTGAGCAACAACTCACATAGCTCACATTAGTTGCATACATTTGTGAAGGTTTATCATTCATGGCCCAAAAAAAGTTTTTTTTTGTAGGTTGTTTCTTTATGCATTCTTAAATCCTTCATCTTTAGGGGCACATAGTAAGTTTTATTATTGGATAATTTTGTTTTGGTTATAATATAAGAAATTTTCTTGATGAAAAAAAAATTTATTGTAAATAAACATTTTTAAAAACAAACATTTTTATTTAAATGTTATGTCCTATTTTATAAAAAATTTTTATTTATCTACACAGGTAAATCTCGCGACATGCTTTTTTATCATATAAATTGATGGGTTTGATTTAATTTTAAGTTTATTTTCTTCTTTTTAGAGTATTTAAACAAAAGCTTGTTTTTAAAAATGTTTTTTTATTATTTTATTTTACGTTATTGGCATTCTCAGCAAACCCTTTCATTTGATACCCATTTATTGGGGGTGAAAAAAAAAAACATAGTCCACCATCTTTGGGAGTCCGCAGTTCAATCGGTTGAGGATAACTTAAAATTAGCGAGCGCATTTGAAAAATAATAAGCTGATCTTACATTTTCGACTCCTTTGTGTTTGTGGACTTGACATAATATGCTCCCTTGACCTCCGCAGTTGTTTACTGGAGTCTGAATCTGTTCTCTTCAAAGAGGGGCTTCCGTGGTTATTTTCTAAAAATAAGAAATAAATTAATAAAAAATGTTATTTTTATAACCAAACTTTTTTATCAGCCCTTTATTCGATATTGTTACACCACATATTTTTAATAGTTTATTTAAGAAAAATATCTACGTTTCTAATCAATAAGTAAATATTTAAAACTAAAAACTATTTTAGTTTATATGAATGTAGAAATCTTTGGAACTGCTAGTGTACTTTAGTAAGGTATTTTAGCATTGAGGAATTATAAAGGTTATGTAAGATTAAAGTTAAGTATTTAAATATTATTTTGAGCGGAGTAATAACACATATTAATATTGCGAGCGGAGTCGTGAGCAAACGCTAGCTTAAAATATAATGAGAAAATAACAAAGAAAAAGTAAGAGATTCCGCTTTTTTGTTAGGTTTCACTCTCTTAATAGCTAAAGTTAGATTTATCAAGAAGAGGTTTTAACATTGATAAATATATATTAACTATAAAACAAAACGGAAATCAAATCTTACTTCTAAACAGCAGAGCTGGTTGATCAGCGATTTCGTCATCAAAGAAGTCCCTCCCATCAGACAGTGATAAGGACCCAGACGCGTGGGTAGGCGTGCCCGGTGACGGCGGCGTCAGTTCCTTACTGTTGCTTCCGCCACTACCGGAACCATCACTGTGAACATATACATTTTATATCCTGAGATAAAAATACTATATATCTATGAAAAAAATACATGCATCCTCGCTTCATTGTTGGGCAAAAGAAGGAAAAAACAAAAAAAAATATTCAGACCATGATTTTTGTAATACGGGGAAGAACATTCGCTAGAATCATTTCTTTAAATTTAAAACATAAATTAAGAGGCACAGAAAAACCCGCAATTTACTAAAGTTAGTGAGTTTGTAAGCGCACAATACGAAAATATGAAACTTACTACTAGTACGTTTAATACTTTCTTAGATTTACGCGAATACTTGACATTTTAAATAAAACTATCTTTTCGGATTTTTTCGCGAATTTATTTTGAAAGGTATTATATAGTTGTTACTACTAGTACGTTACAAAAATGCCGCTCACCTCACTTCGTTAACCGGCTGTAATATCTCTCCATCCACTCTATCGTCTTCTTCTGCGATGGGTTCTGGTGTCCTCGTCTTAGTGTTAGCTGTTTGGTATGCACTGGATATAGAAGGAGCGTCTCTATCCACGTGAAGATCATTGTTAGAGTCACTGGTGCTTGTTGAAGATATAAGACTATCGGCCGGAGACGTTTCATCATCTAATAGGCTTTGTGTGGAAGTTTCTAAAGCGGACATATCGAATTTAGATTCTTCTAGAGTGAGCGTCAGATTGTGATCCGCGCTCTGATTTGTGCATGTGCTTGTGGTGCTGTAGTTAGAACTGGTCATTGAACCTGAACGAGGATTTTTTTTATTTTGAGGTAGATATACAGTTTTTATTCAGAAAAAAGCTTTATATAAAATTGTGAAAAAAAATGTTCACACAATATCTGTATATATATTTAATTATTAAATAATTACAATATATTTATATTATTTAAAAGAATTATTGTAAAAAGCTTCTTAAAAGTGCTTCCACGTACACGTTAACGACAAGAACAAGTTAAAATATAATGAAAACAACTTACCCATCATGGTACCACGAAGGGAGTCGTGTTGACTCAATGTTAACGACTTCATCAACAGTGGATGTGGGACTGGAGGCTCGTCTGTTATTACGATAGTCTTTGTTGGTACTTCTGGCATTTTCACTTCACTCTCTTTTGCTTCCAGCTTAGATTTATCGTCTTCACAGCTCGACACGCTGAGAGCGAGGGACACGTCATCTTGCGATCTACAAAGAAAAGATTGCATGAAAAAATATATAGAAAGGTATATTGTTTACTAGTATAGTATAATATGATCTGTGGTATAATGTACCTATACTCGTATATAACTATTGTTCTGGCACAGGAGATAGGAAAAATAGCTAATTTATTTCTCTCCGTAGATTAACGATTTATTTAATAATACATGTGTCGATTTCCAAATTTGTCTTGAATATTTTTAATTTTTTGCTAAAAACATCAATAAAACTTTAAATTTGAATAATCTCAGTATCTTGAAAATAAATTTAACATACATACATAAATGTTATTTACATACAACCAGCAAGAACACAGAGTAAGTAGAAATGTGAAAAAGAGAGATTAAGAAAATTAATTGAAAAATTCATTAAAAAATATAGAAAACTCAATTTAAATTTGTTATATATTTTCACGGCTTGGCTTAACGTTTTAAATTATTATTTGTCAAGATAGCCTAGAAATAATAAACATACCTATTAGCCATGGCCTCGCCGGCAGCGTGGCTCTGCCAGGCGCTGCTGTTGCCGAAGTGACTCGCTTCACTCTTACACGATGGACTGGACTCCTTACTCGAGTCCACTGCGGGAGATGCTACTCCACTTGATGATTTTATAAACGATTTCTAAAACAAATAAATGTTTTGCATTAATATTTTTAAACTTTAGAATAACCTAATGTTTATATATTGTTTAGAGCTTAGCTAATCGTCAAGCATATTATTATCTACCTATTTTTCACTAAACTAAAAATATCGAATTTAGAAAATATGATTATTTTGCCATAGTAAAACTTACAACATTTTTAATCACAAAACAGACGTTTGACTTTTTACAACGATAGTAGTGTAGTGTATGTAGTTAAAGCATTGAACTATCTGCCCACTTCATTAATTGGTCAACGCCGTTTCACCAATTTAACCAAGCGCCGGCCAATTAAACAGATAACCTGCGTGAAACTACTTCTTATTTTATACTGTTACTAATACTGTTATATTATACTATGGCATCGACAAGCAAAAATATTTCTGAATTTACCCATAATTTTGTACAAATTATACCTACTCATTTGTTTACAGAGTATAGTCTTAGGATTGACTCCTGGATCAACCATTATTTGATGGTTGAATTACTCTTAATTAGTAGTCTGCGACATTAATACTTTCAATTATAATATATGCCCTGTTTATGAAATTCGCACACTAACATTCATAGAGGAGGCTCTAAATGATTTTTTGGTAGTACTGTTAGAATTTAAATAATTAATTGTAGAGATATTTTACCTGCTTATCTAATACTTCAGGTTGTGCTCTATCCAAAACAAACTTCTCTTCATCTTTGTACTCATTAGTTTGAATTCTACTGGGTCTGGTTCTTGTCCTATAGCGGTCTAAAGTGGACATCGGCGAGCTTTGCCGTGGCGTTTCTACGGGGGGATATTCTATGGGCTTAGGAAGGACAGGGGATGGGGGTGAAAATATTGGTTCTGGCTCGCATTCCGGTGAGGACTCCTCGTTGAAAGAACTTGGTAGTTTTGGAAGTGGAATCACTGCGTGGCCTGTAACTACAGCTTCGTCTGTAAGAGAAGTAACAAATTTTAATCGTGACCCCACTACATAATGCTTGTCAATATACGTATAAAATTTTATACTTGTATGTCTGTTTATGTGGATGTAAACATACTCGTAATGTAAAGAGAATACGAAGAGCGTCTGCGAGACAGTAAATAGAACGTTTTATACTTTTATAGTATAGACTCCTTTTCTTTTGTTGTTAGTTTTTGATAGTTTCATTTGCTTCAAAAGTCTGCGAGTATTATGGGTTTTGTTTTATACGCTTATATGTTTAATATTCACATTAGAGAGATTTGCATATTAAGACGGATGAGAGTTACAATATATCTAAATTAATATTGATTCACGTAAAACTTTGTTGTGTGTTGGTAACTATTAATTAAATCTATATTATGCGTTTTATTATATCTTTTTAACAAAACATTATACAATTTGGAAATATGTACCTATTAGTAAATACAAATAGTATTTTGGAAGTATTTCTTTTTTTGTTAAACATTAAGTTGATAAAAATCTTTAAATTTATCAAAATCTACATTAAATATACATTTCTGTTGAATAGGTTCGAATAATTAGGAAAAAATTATAGAAAGTAAAATTATTCAACGGCTACAAGTAAACCTCTTGCGTTTGGGCTCATTTGTTTCGATTTGACAAGCCAAGATAGGGTTGTTTTTAGTTTTATTTAATAATTACTAATATGATTTTTATCACTATAATTTAAACATTTACCCATAATATCCAAGTCAGCAACTTGCAGTTCTCTCAGATGAAAATTATGAGTTCCTCGCATCACCATTTCCAAGTTGCGTGGTCGTCGTCGCGAGCGTGGCGACAGTTCGCCCTCGCCGCCTGTCCACACGCCTGAATCCGTCGAGACCGCGGAACCTGCACCTGACACCAGTACACATTAGGTTTCCAAAAAAATATGAAAATTGGACTACTGCTACAATTGCGAAAGTTTGTATGTTTGTTACTCCGTCACGCTAAAACGACTCGACGGTTTTAGACGAAATTTAGTACAGACAAACTATAAATGTTAGGCACCCGAGCAAAGCAAGCAGTAGTCTAAAGTAAACTTATTAAAGAACATTATATTAAATACCTGAAATCGACTACATAATATTTCAAGTAATTGTAATTTCTTATTCACGTTTTGATTTTGGGACTAAAAGTATTCCTTTTGTATGGATATGATGAGAATATTTGCTTCATTTTACAATAACATACGTTTGATTATTTTTCTGTTAAAATCAATGTTATAATAAATGATATATCGATATTTATTTAATAAATTAGATATCTATAATACACGTGATTGCATTAGAAAGATGAGGCAACACGCAGGATTAATTCTAATATAGAGCATATTTGCAATTTTGGTATCTAATTCTTACGCTAATCGAATTTCTTTACTCTTCTTTATGGAATTCTTGTATCTAATAACTTTCTTTTTACTAAATACAAACAATTTCATAAGTTTACAAATATATCTCTTCATAAAAACAAATGTATATTAACCGATGTAGAGCTAGCTCCGAGATGAGTAAATTTTTAATATTTTTTTGTAATAAAAACATAATAACTTTCATTGAATTTTACTGTAATTTTATGTTTAGAAGGGTTTAACTTATTAAAGTTTGGTTCGCTCTGCAAACCTATTATTAAGAACAAGTTATATACCTTCTCTCCATCCGTCGACAGCACCAGCTTTTCTTGTGTTATTCACCACCTGAAATTATGAAAAATACTCATTTTTATTATCAATTAACTAACACTTTCACTGTACTTTTAAGTAATAATTGTTAATTTTTTTTATAATTTAATTTTATGAATAAGAAACAATTATTAACCATTTTTAACTATTTACAGATCATAACTCAGAAACAACACACTTCGACGTTACAATATACGAGAGCGAATGTCCCCTAGTAAAGATACCATAGGTTATTTATAAATAGAGGGAATATAGTAAGACTTATCTCAAGATTTAATAAACCACTCACTTTGAAGGATATTAAAGTTTCGCTTAGATTTCTGTTTTAAGAAGGCTCTTTATAATCTTTTCATTATAACAATGTATAACAACAAATATAACACGTGTGCATTACTGCGAATTCTATCTTACTCTAAAGCAAGTGCAAATGTACGGACAATTAATTCTAACAAAAAGAGGTCATTTACAATTGCTAAATTACTTGGATTACGGATACTTGTAATACAAATATACGCTTGGTTACAATCTCTTTTTATAATTTCTTCTTTATATTAGCTAACTACTAAGGATGTTAGGGATTTGAATTCCAAAGTCAGTGGCAAATGGTTATTTATGAAAAAAAACAAATTAATCAATATAATTGCTGTGTTGAATGCTTCACAAGTAACTTATTGTTTGTAGATATTTACAGAAAATAGAGAACGAATCATTTTCTTCCTTTTGTTTAGGAACCCAAGATAAATATGTACTTATGTTTTTTTTTATTTCGTTGGTACAACATGGTATTATTCAAAATATTTATATTGTATGTATATGTGTGTGTTGTGTTTTTATATGAAAAAATCCTATCTTTTTTTATATCCTTTGGATATCGGAAAAATGTAGAATAATAAAATAAATTAAGATTAGAATTTATATTGTAGCAAATATTAAATCTTCGCAGTTCTATCTCATGTGTTACACAAATGCACTCACTATGCAGCGATATTTTTAACAAGCGGCACGGGTTTCAAAACCAACAGCCCTGAAATAGATGAAGGATGACCTACTTCACTCAACATACAACAATATTTCTTTTGTTCTTATGTTAAAGATCATTTTCGTGTATTAAGAACAATTGCAAAAAGAATGCTCAGACATTTTCGTGTTGATCAATGAAAGTAAATTAACTAGCTGTTAAAAAAAAATATGAGAGAATTCTCTAATATATACTTATAAACAATACATATGTTGTACATAATGTTTCTTTATGAAAATATTACACAGTATTTAATTATGTAATTAATCAATATTATTAAATTAATTGAAAAATTTTAAAATAATTATTTTATTGATAATTTTGTTAATTAAAAATATTTTTAAGCGAAAAATAACTTCTATAATATTTTACTTGTATTGTATATATTAATTTATAATCATTTATTATTAATGGAGATTACTGCATTTTTAAAGATAACCCGGTGGGAATCGGGTAATATATCCATAATACCCGATTCCCACCAGGTTATCGTTATACTAATAAATTATATTTGTACAACTAAATTCTTTATGTACCTGAATGTGCTCTTCAACCACCATAAGGGTAAAAGGGTTTAAGTAAAATGTTGTACTATAGTAGTACAGTAAAGCAATAGTAAAGGGCTAGTGTAACTACACCTGCATGGTATTATGTTCAAAGCTATAACTATATAAATGTAACAATAAAAGTTCTTTTCCCATATTTTTATTGCTATTTCTAGAATTGAGTACTTACTAACTAAAGCAAAGGATATATCGAAACATTAAAAACTTTTTTTTTACTTACAAAATCAGCCATTTTAATTTCAAATCTTTATAGTGCAAGCCTAGGCATAGCATGAAAAGAAGCGATATAATATGTATGTAAATAAATTATTATTAAATATATAACTTACTTGTTTAGCTGTTTTCGAATCGATGTTCTTGACAGAAGGATACTGAGGTCGTGGCAGTTGGTTGGTTTGGAATGTGTACTTGCCGGGTGGTTTGAGAGGATCAATGCTTGGAGTGCGAGGAACTGAGGCCGCGCGAATCGGCTGTTCTGCACGAGAGGGCTTTTTCCCATCCTACATATTAAATTAGATTTTATTATTATATTGAAAGAAGATTATATAAATTATAATCTTATTATATAATTCCCAAAATAAGTATCTTTGATTACTTATTAGGAAGGCTCAGCGTAAAATATAGTAACTACGATTTCATAAATAAAGGTATTATTATTTATTATTTGACGACACGTTTGGCTCAGTGTGTAGTGACCCTACTTGCTGTGCTAGAGGTCGCGGGTTCGATTCCCGCTGGGGGCATTCACTTGTGTGATGAGCACGAATGTTTGTACTCCAGTCATGGGTGTTTATATTTATAATATGTATATATTTAAAAGTTATATATGTGTAGTGTATTAACTATCTGGTATCCATAACACAAGCCTCGTAGCTCACCATGGAACTAGATAGTGCTGTGTGTTATAAATGTCCCACCATCTTTATTTATCTTTATTATTTATTATTTATAAATATGTAGGTAGTTAATTTTATAGGGGTCTGACCCCTTCAATGAATCACATAGTAATAATTAAGCGCGAAAACGCTTAAATATATATATATATATATATATATATATATATATATATATATATATATATATATATATAGTCATATTGACCATGTAACAAAATAAAATAATATAAATAATGTATGTATTCTTTAGTAATATTTTTCAAGGTAACACTTCATAACTAATGTAGGTTTCAAAGTATATAACCATAGTATCAACTATCCAGTACAAAGTCAAAGCCAAGGCTAAGATACTTATGTAGCATCACTACAATAAACCGATTAACCTAATTAGAAATATTTCTTACAGTCGTCAAATTTTAAGCTTATAATAATATATTTTTTAGTTATTTTAAATCTAAGATTCTACAATAAATAAAAAATTTAAAAAGCTATTTAAAAGTTCTACTATTCACTTCTTGTGAGAATCCCTATAACAAATGATACTTATTTGTTTATTACTTAGGTAGTCGTTTAGTTTATTTAAATTTTAATAAAATATCTTACTTGCTGATACTTTTGTGGCTGGTAAGTTAATATGACGGTTTGCTTGGTGACGGACTTGGGCACGCCAGTCGCGCCCACTATCGTCGTGACGCCGGTAGACGACACTTGAGTCGTCAGGAGTGGCAAGTTGTATTGATTTGTACTTTTCTTATCTGGAAATAGGTAATTTGTATTATAATTTTTATTGTTATATCGACTCATATATAGATTCTAAATATTATAATCAATAAGATTGATTCATTCAAAGAAATCACATAGTAGGTATAATAAAAAAATACACTGAATCAGAATGCAAGAAAGATTTAAGAGATCAGAGGTTCTTTGTGCCTTTTCAGATCTTGATTAACATCTGCACGATCACTGTGATGATGTGAGCTGACGTCCGCTTGCGTGTGGGCTGCGGCCTGCGAGTAATGTGTCAAACAGGAATGTGCCATGTCTCCTTGGCCTTTAAAACTATGTATTTGGATAGATGTCTCTACATTTAGAAAGAAAATGAAATGATAGAGAAAATTAGGTGACTTGTTTGCTATGCACTGCAGTAAATCAGCGAAATAACTTGCGTAAATCTGCGCGCTTGGATGTACATAAAGCAGAGTTGGTACAATTTTTATAATACTGCAGCGAAACGTACATAGGTGTTGCTGATGAAGTATGATAGCAAGATACACGAAGTAGAAAGATCTCTCAAAAGGCTGTGAGAAGTCCGCTTATAGACAAATCTTTAGTTTGAAATAAAACCGTAATAGGTATTATGAATGAAAAAAGAATGATCAAAAAGATCACAATTCATATTCACTGAGGAAGCTAGATCTCAGAGGACTTTTAAAGACCAAATATATTTTTTAAACATATTTAAATAAAACTTATAATCTAAGAACCTTTGAAGAGCGTGTATGAAAGGAACGATTACGGAAATAACATGGAGAAATGATAGTCTATTATGTTTGTATACAATTTGTTGGCTTCTATATAAATATAAAATATACATAACTTAGCAATTATGTTACATATTAGTATCATATAATTAAGTAAGTATAATATAATTAAGTAAATAATTACAAAGTGGTAGGTATAAAGAATTGCGTACATTTGATGTAATTAATGCATGGATGTTTGAATGTCCTTGCCGTGTCTATTTCGCATTGCTTATTGTGCAGTCCAAATAAAGCTATCGAAATGTTGCGCTCCAAACAGGTTAAAGATTAATGATTGTCTATGTTAGTTTAACAATAGGATTGTTATTTGTTCAATATAAGAACAATTTTCGATTAAGCATTAAGCGGCTGCATTGTTTGTGTAGATGAAATATATCATTTAAAACTATTTTATATGAAAACAAGAATGCTTGCGATAAAACGCCCTTGAAATTATCTATACGGCGCGGCGTATCTCTTATTCGTACGTACGTTAGCTAACGTTATAATGTGAGAGTAACCTATGTACATCACTATGATGTGTATATCTCTGCTGACTGAAGGAAGATTGCCTAAAAAACATCACAGTAGTCACAGGTATCGAGCATCGACCTATTATAACATCGTTCAAATAAAACGATCTATGTACATACAAACCTATAGCATTATTATTGATGGCAGTTTCCTTATCTTTGCCAGGCGGCGCGGTGAAGGCGTGCTCCGCAGCCACACTCACGTCGGCTACCTTGGCCGTCTTGCTGTGCGGCTGCCTGAAACCGAACCTAGGGAATTAAATAGCCACTGTCATTTGTGCTTAGTGTCGTTATTGGTGATGTTAGCTAGTGACACTAATGATATGAACATAGTGGCCTATTTTGAAAAGTAAAGTAGCAATGGCATAACACAGGAGCTGATCAAGTATTACGTAAGCAGGGAAGAGGGATGATTTTCTTACTTTTGACATAGGGAGCGATAGTAAAATTTTATTTAAGTAAAAAAAAACTTAATTAATAAAAATGTTTTCAAAACAATATTAATAATTTAAATGAATATTACTAATTTTGTTATGGTTTGTGATTTTCTTTTTTTACTTATACAGGGGAGGAAAGGGTTTCAAATCCTTAAAAATCAGCTTACGCAATACTTATATCAATATGGCCCCACATTGTAATTAAAAAATCTATTTTTTGGTTAAGTAAGAAATATTATTGCGCCTGCGATGTAATAAAAAGCAAACATGTCAAAATAAACGTTGCAGCTCTACTAAAATGTTTTACAAAATAACTTTGTTCAGTTATATTCGGGGTTTTCTATTTGACCATAACATTTATTAAAAATAATACCTTTGAAATATTTATTTGTAACTTATTTTGCTTTTAGATGAAACCAAATAATAATTCGTATAATTTATGCTTGGCATTACTAATATATTACTATGTGGTCTGTACCTGGCATATAATTTATCAATGTTAAAATTTCACCCATGTTTAAACTCGTTTAAAAGTTGTGACGATTGTCGTAATAGTTCCTTTAGCGTTAATGAATTGATTTACTTTTACCATGCGAAAGGATACGGTGATTTCTTTTCGTGAAGAGTTTGTCGATAGACTTTCGATTTTCTTTTCGGCTATTAACATAGTTTACATAATAGAGCTTTAAATAATATATTTTGATTCCAATAGAATATAAGCCGTTACTTATGAACGTGGGAAAATTTTGCGTATACTCTAAATAATAAGTACATAATATGTAAATATAGTTTTTACCAAATAGATAGATGGCTGGCTGAGTATGTTTAAACTTTAATGTTCAGGTATAAAGTAAATGTGAGTTCTGTCATTATCAACATCTATGAAATGATACTAAAATTGTAAGTTTTACATAGTAGGTAATGACTGTTTAGGTATAAAACTGTAGCCATATAATACGACTTTACCTGTTGGTACGGAGAGGCTGCCCCGGAGTCTCCTTGCGCGGTCGTGCGAGCGGTGTTGATCGTCCAGACAGCACTTCTTCAGCGCGCAGGTCCTCAGTTGAACCTATGTGAGATATCACGTATTAATAAAATGTCTTGAAATATTGTATTTCAAATAATTCTTATAAATAAACATTAATTATTGTGTAATAGTCATTCTTAATATTTTTTTAATATGACTAGAGACTCACCCTCTCTTTACTCGGGTTCGTCCCCAGCTTGCTTCTCAATACAAACTTTCATCCCCATTTTCACCCCCTTAAGGGATATATCCGGGATAAAAAGTATCCTAAGTCCTTCACAGGTCAAACTATCTTCTTACTAAATTTCATCTAAATCGGTTCAGTAGATCTAGAGATTATCCCCTACAACGTCACAAACTCACAAACTTTACGTCCTTATAATATTAGTATAGATAATATGAGTGTAGATAATAGAATAATAATAAAAATATGTTCATGAGTTTTTCAAACAGCTATTTAATCCTAGTACCAAAAATAGACTTACTAAAATCGTCAAATAACTACCCCTGCGTCATTGTGACTTTCAAATAACCTTGAACTTCATTCATGAAGAGGGTATAAAAAGCGCAATGCGAAGCTCCGACCTTTCTACATAATGACAATAAGATATAATGAGAAATCTCCGACATTTTTAATTTGAAACCGCAAATTTTTATGTCACTTTTTATTCAAAGTTTTATGAATAAGAAACGAGCTAAGAATATTCCTTGGCATCTTTACACTCTTCTTTGCGTCATAAACACAACATAATAAAAATGTCTGTTTTGTTCGTGTTTTTATCAATATTAATTTTTGTCGCTACAAATCGAACTTATGACTTCTCTCTAGCATTGTATGTAGGTAGTAATAGATAGTAGTATTGTAGTAAACAAATTAGATAATCGAAAATCACATGACGTACCGGTGGGAAATTGGACAAAACCGACAAATTTACTTTCATCGTAATAATATTATTAGATACTAAACTAATCTGCATTAGTATTATTCGTGTTAATCTGCATAATTTACCGCCATTGCCGTTTTTATCATGTGGTTTTTGTTTCCTTCGCGCATTGTCGTCTGCACGCGATGTGCTGGCGGGGCGGCGACGGAAGCCGAACGATGTAGCGACCCCCCGGCTTTGCTTGTTGCCGTTCCCACTTGCACTCTTCTCCCTTTTCTTCGCTCCCTTCGATTCAGAATGGCCCTAGAAATAAAAACTTGTTAAAGTACAAAGCCAATATTAAATTACGTATTGAATGGTTTGGGGCTTATCCAAATGTTTTTAAACGGTTATTTAATCGTATTATGCCATACTAGTTACTTAACCTCGCTTCGCACGGACGTGCCTCTGTCTACCTGCCCTAAATGTCTTGTTGTAGCACAATATGACAAATAAAATCGTTTCAGTATTAAGGAGTAACAAACACACACACACATAGGTACACAAATTTTCAACAAACATATATAATACTAGTCCTAACAAATGCTTCAGAAAACTTAGTATAATTTCATAAGAAGAAAAGTAAAATAAACAATAGGTATCAATCAAGCTACGGAACTTTTCTTACATCATTAAATTTAACTCGAGTCGGACATACAGGTAGATAATTACTGTCAATAAAATTCACACTAACCGTTTATAATTTCCTGTAACAGTCTCTTAACAGGTGTTCTGTATGAAATATATAATTTAATGAAATGTATATAATCATATTAGTTGTCGCTATTTAAGGTAAAGATTTCTGTAAACTGCAATTTTGCGCAATAAGTATGTTTACAATGTGGTGCTTAATAAATTGTCACAACGTTAAAAACTGGTTTACAGCAATAAAGGAGTTCAAGGCGAATTTATATTTATAAAAATTTAATTATATATTATCAGGTAACTTTTAACTGTTATTATAAAACCGGGGTTTTAGTAACGAAACCAAATGGCCTCGTAGATAAGTAATAAGTACTTTCAGTACCTAGGAAATAAGAAAAAGTTTGTTTTGTTAGTCAGCATTACTTTCAGTACAATATATGATATCAGAAAATATTGTAACTACCTATATGATATCAGAAAACAAACATTATTTTTTTGTAAATTAATCTGTGGAACAAAATATCGCGCTTAGCAGTTACATTAACATTTGAGACTTTTTTTGCCTACAATTAGTACTAAATCATTCTTAAAGAATAATATTCTCGGAAGTGAATATTACCTTTTGGAAGACCTCACTCTTTTAGACTCAATCAGGCTTTTTCTATTGGCACGACGCACTGTGGTCAAATTATGACCGTCAACGGTAGCTTTCAAAAAGTAATTTTGATATTTTCAATAAAACTATAGATACCTATGTGATCATGATTGCTGTAAAACATTCCAAATCGGGAAGCAAGAATCAAAAATAATTCCATGAAAAAATCCGATTACATATAATCTATACATATAATAAAATTGTAACTAAGCCGAATCTGTACATTAAATATTTTTTGGAAAATCTTTTTGAAATAGACAATATTATCGATACAGAAGCCGAATCTATAGTTTTTCGAATTTTTGTCTGTCTGTCTGTCTGTCTGTTACCGCATCACGGAAAAACCACGGAAGAGATTTTGATGAAATTTGGTATGACGGTAGCTGGTTATCCGGGTCAACATATAAGATACTTTTTACCGCGGGAAAATATCTCATTTCTGAGAAAAACTACAAAAACTGCAATGTAAGAGTATACTAATATGTAAAACCCAAGAATTTGGTTTTTGGTCATCTGAACGCGGGCGGAGCCGCGGGCAATGCTAGTAATTAATATGGAATTTGAAACGTCTAATATTCGAGTAAATCTAAGTAAGCACCTGTTAAGCCACTTAATCTTTGATCCTACAAAACAGCTACACTACACTTCTATTTTAGGTCAGCACTTAATAGAAAGCTCAAATTTTATGTATAAAATAAAACGTCCCATTTTTTTTGTATTGATGTAATGATAAATGTTTTCACGATGTTAATCTCTGACTAACTGTACTAAGTCGATTGTAATTGTTCAATCCCCTTTGTAATTCATCTCACGAGTATTCTGGGTACACTGACCCAGTGTGATCAATTTTCTTAATCTGTTTATAGATTTACACAAGTAATTTGTATTTACTTAGGATATTTAAACAAAAGTATGAGGAATTTTCGGCTTTCTTACGCTACTACTATACTAATTACTGTTTAGATTTAGACAAATTCTTTTTATCCTCATTTCATTCCGCAACATGACTTTTGCATTTTTATATTAGTTGTTTTTTGACAATATTTGACAACCTTCCTTACTGATTTAGCTCAGGCTGAGATTTAGGACGTAGACTAATGGCCGATTTCACCAACGTCACCTAAGTTTAAAGGATCCCCTAAGCATAGTTAGGGGGCTGTTAGGGGGCAATTTCTGTTTCACCGACAGTTAGGGTCACCTAAATGTTAAAATGCCACCTAAATATAGGTAGTACAAATACGGGCTCTAACGATGGTTAAACGAAATTTAATGTAGGGGCTAGTTTAGGGGAACTTTTAAAATAGGGATCCCCTACGTAGGTGGTATGTTGCTTATGGGATGTTGGTCGGAAATCGGACATAAGTATCTTATAATAAATTAAAGAAATTCCAATATATATGTATGTATGTTTGTTAAATATTTGATCTCCTTAATTACCTGGCGAATAATGTACTGACAATGACTGATTGTCCATGAGAAGAAGAAACAAGGGCTGGCAAAAGTGGATAACTCAACGAAAATGTTTATTTAATTTTAATAAGTGCAAGTAAGATTAGGTTTTCCTTAACCCCATTTATGTATAATGAAAATGATTAAATTTAATAATAGATACTCAAAAAAAAAAGTGAAGAAATGAGCGTCCCTGTCAATATAAGAGCGACTCTTACAATATATACGCACAATAGGATGTTTAGTAAACTAATTAATAAGATGTTTTATAAATACCAAGGTAGTCAAGTCTGAAGCATCATCTTGTTCTTGACAAAAACACGAAACGATTTTGTATCAGAAATAAATAAGTCATAATTTACATAAAAGATGATTTCAGTGGAGTTTTAATACATATATGACTCAGAGAGTCTTATCATAGGAATGCTTATGTTTTAATTTTCATAAATTATGCATGAATTAGTTCAATTTGGAACTATTAAAAATATAAGTAATATCAAATGAAATGAAATCAAAATATACTTTATTCAAAGAGACTTCTACTAGCACTTTTGAATCGTCAATTTTACATTTTAAAAGTTAAATTAAATGTCAGTGTAGTAAGTCTGTGAGGAATCTTTCACCGGCTCGAAAGTCAGCTCTGCTGAAAAGAGCTGGCGAGAAACACAACAGTTGCTCTTTTAAAATAATAATTGTTTACAATATTATAATACAATAATTATCTAAGTACTTATCCTACGTGAGACCCAACCAGACGTTAGACAATATTATTGCAATATGTAAATATTAAATAATACAAATCAAACTTTTGGCAATGGCATCGCATGACTAGAGCTTTATGAATAAAACCAGAGATAAGTTTATAAAACCAAGTTAATAATAAAATTGTGATATAAAGATAACAAAACTTTATTTATATGTTTTAATAAGTATAATATCAAATATAATCGTAAAGATGATCTTGAAGCAATTTTGTAATTTAAATGCTACTAGAAAGCAGATATTTGTATCTAATTTAGTTCCCATTTCTATACAGAAGCCATGTATAATAAGACTACGATTATGTATACTATATGTAAGAATTTGTTAAACGAAGATGGCATCGAATATATTAAGAAAGTTACTTAACTTTATTTAATAAATTGTTAAAATGAACAGATTATATTTAATATTTTGTGAAAAACATTGTATGTTTAATATGTATAAATATTAAAATAACGTAACGCAACTGGAGGACGATCATATATATTCATGGTGTTTAAAGGCGCGGTGAAATACGAATGGAAGCGAAAGTATCGTATGTTACATCACATTTTGTTATATGATAGATTACCATATTAATATTCCCTTTATTTCTTTGTAATAAAATATACTATTTATCGTTTCCCAATCTATAGACAATACTAATTAATATTATAAATGTAAAAGTGTGTTTCTTTGTTTGTTTGTTTGTTTGTTTGTTTGTTTGTTTGTTTGTTTGTTTGTTTTTTGTTTGTTTGTTTGTCTGTCCTTCTTTCACGTCGAACGTGTTCGTACTTTTTATCTCGGGAGATTATCTCATTCCCACGAAAAAACACGTTATAATATAATCCAAAATAAAAACTTTTTAACAAAAAAATAAAAACCGACTTTAAACAAAAGCACTAAAAAGAAAAAAATAACTGATTGGTAGTTTTCATTTACTATACATACCTAATCAAGTATTTTTGAAGTCGGTGTGCTTTGCTTTGTATGGGCTGGCACCGATTTCGAAAATATTTGATTAGGTATGTATTTAATAGGTAGGCTTTAATTACTTAGCCAAAGCACACCGACTTTGAAAATATTTGATTAGGTATGTATAGTAAATGAAAACTACCAATCAGTTATTTTTTACTTTTTAGTGCTTTTGTTTGAAGTCGGTTTTTATTTTTTTGTTAAAAAGTTTTTATTTTTCCCTTTTTAGTGTAGACAGTAGTAGCAAAGTAAGGATTCTAACGTGTTAAGCTTGTCAAATCAAACAAAATAAGCCCAAACTCAAAGTATCTACTATTAGCTGTTGAAGAGTTCCACCTAACCACCTTCTGGCCTTGCCATCAGATCAGGTCAACAACACTGAACCACTGTACTATCAACGGAAATAGAAATACTTGCAAAGTTTCAAGTCAATATGACAATTAGAAGTAGGTTAAATTCATCATTAGTTGTTTTTCCACCTTAGGGGTGGTATTTTTTTTTTTGAAATTTAAATGGGACCAATCTGGAAGTATACCCTTTCAAACAAAACAAAAATTGTCCAAATCGGTTAATAAATGACGGAGTTCTGAGGTAACAAACATAAAAAAAAACATACAGTCGAATTGAGAACCTCCTCCTTTTTAAAGTCGGTTAAAAATATTTATGATCAGAATTACTTCAGGCTTATTATTAATGCTCTTCAATACAATTAAATAAATGTGTGTTTTAGCATTTTCCGAAATTCATCCCATAAGGGGGTAAAATAGGGGATGAAGGTTTGTATGAACCCTACTTTTTTCGAGTTTTTTTTTATAGTTTTAGCGCGAGCGAAGCCGCGGGTTCTGCTACTATATTATATTTATGAAAATAATTATGCTTTAATTCAATAATTGCATATATAAGCGTCAAACAACCATGTTGTTCGAAATATATAACGTTTACAACTAGATTTTTCCAACCAATTGGGTGGACCTATCAGAACGTAATATGAAATATCTTTCAAAAAAAACAGGAAACTAGATAGAGTCACCT